TCTCGGAAGTGCTATGAAGGACGGATCGGCCGCTCGTGAATCCAGTGGACAGTCAACGAGTGGTGGTGAATCAGTCAGGCAGGGGTTCTGGGTAAAGAGGTGCTCGGTAGCTCCTGTAGAAGCGTAATTTTCTTGCCTTCACCTTTTCCTGCATCAACTAAATGAGATCGAGCAATAATAGTAACTTCACCATTTACATTATTTTGGACTACTACAAAGGTTTTTAACTAAGAATCAACAAACATAGCACCAATGGTGTCACTCATTGTACCGACAATATCGCTAAAAAATTGACCCTCCATAAGATTACCTTCTATAAGATTACCTTTTGAAGGAGGAAACTCCAGCTTCTATTGCTTTGCATCCAACTTTACTGATACTTCCTTGGCGCAGGAGGTTTCCACAACATCAAAGGTGGGCCATAGGTCTTGAGTCATCCATCCCTTCAACACTCTGTCGGTGGTTCTCTCCGCAGTGCGCTGAGGAACCGATAATTTCCGCCATATAAGCATTGCACTTTAGAGCACAGTTCTTGCACCAACGATTTGATCTTGTTTGTTGAGGCATCAACCGGCTTGGTGGGAATCCCCCAGTCGCCGGCGTAGGAGCCAATCACAAATTGTTTCTTCCAATCTTTCACTTTATTTTCAACTCCAAGAGGCTGAAGCTTCTTTCTGGCAGAGAACATGACAAAACTGTCTTTTTCATCCTTGAAAGAATAGAAATGGTCGAATAGGTCAGTCTACCAGGGAATTGCCTCCTGACAACAGAAGACCACGAAGGTCGTTATGACCACGATAGAATTGAGGAGGACATGTGCTGTTCTGACTTCATATTTATTGAAGATGCTTTGCATCTCAGAGCAGAGAGATAACCAGAAGCCATAATTGAACTGATCTCTATAGAAAATTATAATTGGGCTAAAGTCGCTTGTTGGTTGGACGGACTCCTGGACCGATCACAAGACGATAGATTTGTTAAAGACATAAGACTGTTGCATCTCCTTCACATTAGATGTTGTCAAGATTGATGCATCAGTGGTGGATAAGACCCAAAAAGTGTTAGAGAATATTTTGGTGTCATCAAAGATCACAAACAAAAATCAGAAAGTAAGAAAGAAAATTGAAAGATAAAGGAAATAAAAAAATCACAAAAGCGAAAAAAGTCAAAGTCATGGCCTCAAGCTCTATTTATAGAAGTGACACCAAACATCATTTCATATTGATTAAAATATTATTTTATTACAAACGAAATGTTTGCATTTTTGTAAAGGATACAATTACAATTTTCGATGGAAATACTTAATAAAAGGATCTTCCACCGCTTCAACCGAGACATACTCCAGTTGAAGCATCATTCGGAAGACCAACTCTCCACCCAACTAGATTTACTCCATCTGGTTGACGTGTTGATGGAATTTTCTCAAAACGGTCAACACACGAATGGGCCTTAACTCAGCTTGTACATTGCTCAATGTGCTTTGAAGTGTCACAACCTGTCTCCAACAACGTCGACAGACCTGCCTTGAAGGGCAACAACCTCTACCTCCAACCTGCCATAGTGAGCTAGCAACTCCTACATTGCCACTTCAGTAGACTATCCAGTAGCTTTGGTTGAAGGGCCAACCTTTTCACTTATTCGACACTCCATTGAATCGGAGGATAGCTGCCGACTCTCCAAATGCTCCTGCTAGGAACTGTTGAAGGGGTTGATTGATCGATAAAAACCATGTTTGATTGATTGGAGAGGTGTAACTGTCAGATTTTGCGGTTTGGCCACAAGCGTTGGGGCAGAGTCAACAATAACATTCTTGGATGGCCCGCCGTCAGTACAATTCTTCGGTGCATTCGACTCATCTGCATTAAGAGTAATGTCAAAGAATTTTTAAATACTGTTGAAGTTAGAAAAAATTACATACCCAAATATCTGTTTAATTCAGAGAGGGTGATGGAAAATTTGTCTGTTTCTTGAGCAAAAGGACCTCTATCCTTGTTCTGCAAAGGGGGCGAGGAAGAATCAATGACCTTTTTCAACCTCCCTTAACTACTCTCAATTCTTTCAATGGGTGAAGTGACACACTGGCTTTCCTCAACAACCACTCCCATGCTTGGGTCAGAAGTCAGGTCTTTCTGACGAGGGGCCACATTAAGGGATTTCTTCGGTGCATGGCTACTAGGACCTTCCAATGAAGAGACCCGGTCGATCAGCTCTGGCTTGGGTGTCAATCTTTTTTTTTTTCTTTATGAATTTTTTTTTTCTTTTTGATTGTAGCCGAAACAGAAAGTTGAAAGCCTTTCAAAGCTAACAGGCAGACATCGACATCCTTCTTACTCAAATTGTCAGCCATGATGTCATTTGAAGGACTCTAAGCACAATGAAAGAAATGAATGAAATGCAGGGCCTAAAGCCCTCTTCAAAGAGAGCACTAGGCATGCAAAACAATGGAGAATTGATTATTAAGTTAATTTCTTCGAATACTGTATCGTTCATTGTTTAATTTTCGTGTCCTTATCGTAGTTGTCTTTATTAAGGAGCAGAAAAATCGGAGAATTAATGTGCATACTACAAAAATGCCAACACGAAACTTAAAGAAACCGAGCGGCCTGGAATGGAGACCCAAACAATTGAAGTTTCAGTCTAAAGAACAGAAAATCCACCAACCAATAAGTCAATCAACTTTTATTGTAGAATCAATCGATAGAATTCTTCAACTGATGGATCATCACCGACGGACCTCTTGCTGAATCGAACGATTTTCTTTGATCGATCGACCGGTCTCCTTAGCAGAATCAACAGATTCAGTAGACTTAACCAACTAAATTGAGGTATTTGGCAGTCAATAGACATTATATTTCTTTATCTCTTGTAATTTTCATTCAACATAATTCATTTATTTGGATAGTTATTATAATTGTTCCCTTCATTTTGGCCTATCATGGGTGAATAAATTCAATAAACAATTATGAAATAAATAATAAGAAATCACCTAATATAAAATATAAATTATTATTATTTTAATATTTTTCAGATATTAAATATGAGGACTTGAAATTTAATATATTTTGGGTATGTTTTATAAAAATGTTTTTTTTAATATTTTTTATATATTAAATATAAGGATTTGAAATTTAATATATTTTGAATATATTTTATAATTTTTTTTAATTATTTTAAACGAGCTGGCTCACGAGCCAACGAGTCAAATTAGGGTTGGCTTGAGCTTGACTTATTAATTCATCAAGCTCATTCACAAGCCACTTATCGAGCCGAGCTCGAGCCGGCTCACAAGTCTAATAACCATTACGTTGCAAAAAAATTTTTAAGAAAAATCTTAAGTGATATTTTATGTTATGACGCCAAACAAAAATGTGCTATTATAATTAATTATTATTCCACAAAGGAATTTCAACCTAAGAAATTGAAGAAATTTTTAACAGCATCCATTTTGGCTTATCATAGGTGAATAAATACAAATATATCTCAAATTTATCGAAAGTGCTCTCCCATTATCAAGAGGGTTAATTAACTATAAAAGCTTGTGTCTATGAAAAAACTTGAGCCTTGGATCTTAAAATTCAGGCAAAATGAGGGCAAAATATCCACTGTGTCACATGCCTTCTGAAAATTTGACCCGCTTATTTTCTTTTTCTTTTTCTTTTCGAATAAGACATGATCAACGAATTTTTGGATCCCGCAGCTACGACAAAATTTACAATAGAGGTTGTCATAAAAATCTACAATGGAGGCTATAAGAGTCTTCAATGGTGGTTGATCATTAATATTATGAGAAGAACTAGTCATCAAATAAATCCATACAATCCGCATTTATATGGCATCCCACAAGCAAAACTTCAAACTTGTAATGGCTTATTTATAAATTATATGTGCAAAGATGTTAATAAACATTACGCATTTGTTGCCACTTGTGCATGTAAGCAATTTGGGAAACCACATTAAACTCTTATTTATCAAGTAGCTTAACACTATGAATTTTAGTTTGACTTTCTTAATTTTTTAAAAATGATTATATTGCCCAATGGTTTTTTAGATAATGGGGTACACCTCTTAATGCTGATATAAATGCACGTTTTGAGCACAAATTACCTTGGTTATTGTAACATCTACTTAACACATACCAATCATTCATTTTATTTTGGATACAATTTATTGAATCCATGAATATTTAATTGGTTTTGAAAAAAAGAAAGAAAGATAAACTCGATTCTAATGATTTAAAGTGAAATTGATGGCTGAAAAATTAGAATAAAATTTCATTTAAGGATTGCTTGGTCATATCTTTTAAAGTACACCAATTTAGAAATGCAATGTAGTTAAAATGTAATCATCGTCTAGTTGAATGACAATCAAACACTGTGTGAAAATAATGCGAGCGGCGGGCGGCATTGAACGCGGCATGGGCCAATGGGTTGATAGAGAACAAAGTACATTTTGCAAATTGCTCTAAAGGTTTTCAAATGATGGAAAAATATAGCTTTTAAGTCATTTAAAAAGACAGATAATTTATTTTTATATTTATTTTGTTTGATATCAAACACCAAAAAAAATTAAAATATATAAAATAAAACCCGACCGAAAAACATGTATTCTTCTACTCCCCTTGACATTAGAGACAATCAAGTACGAAAAGACAGAGATCAAGCCCTCTCAAAATTCAAAAAATAATAATTTGCAAGAGTTTACAACTTCAAGGATGAAATCGCCAACCACGTTGTTGCAGACAAATGTTATGCTTCATGAATTAACACTCGAAATAGTATATCACACAATTCTTATACATCTCACACCTAATCTTTCATATTTACATGCATAGCACACTCAAATCTTTAATATCACATCAAAATAGCACTACTATCACATTTTTAAAAGTGAAACGCCCGCTTTCATTCATAAGTTTAAAACACCAAAGTGATATATATATATATATATATATAAATATGAAAGTTTTACATAAGATATGTAAATACATAAGAATTGCATGCTAGACATGTAAATTTCCCAATATTTAAAATCATTATATACATTCGAATGGTTAAAATTTAGAAGCAGAATCAAGATATTGCAGAAAATTCAGTCTGCGTACCACAATATAAAGAGGTATAATTGCCTTTAAGCATCAGTAACATTACTGAACACCTGGAAGGGCACGTCGCTGCAAGAGAAAGCTAGAGAAATAGAAAAAGAACCCTCTTACTATATCGTATCAGCTTGAATATGGTAAAATTCCCTCCGAAGTTCTATACAGTCTTCATATGTTATTGCTAACTTCTATCAGCCACAATGCCTCCACTGGTGGGCCTGAAGATTATTAATGCAAAATCAAACTCATTTCGTCCATTTAACTAAACAAGTACATCCGATTCGAAGAATACGACAAAGCTTATAGTTTGTTGTGTTGGAATAAGGTTCCCATTCAGATAATTATATGCAAATCAACTGCTACAGTAGATAAAATACAAAACTCCGAACTTTATTATTATTATTATTATTATATTAATTTTTAAACTAAGGAAATTTCTCAAATGGTCAAATTCATAGTAAACTTCAGAATACATGATGATATTTAGCTGGTATGAACTAAATGGAATTATTAAGAGTACTAGAATAAACTAGTACAATCATTATGCAATAAAAAAGATGATAGGGTGTTGTAAGATATAAATATTAGAAAGGTATTTAGGATTTCATGAAGCCATGATCAATGATAATTGATATAAAATGTATTAAATAACTCATTGAGCTTAATTATGAAGAATAAATTAGAGAAATATATAGAATCATTGAATTTTGAATTAATGATAAACAGTTGTATTTGGCTATTTAATACTTTGAATAGATGATTGATCTATATTTTTTTGAGTCTAGGATTTCCAAAGCAACATGCATTAGAGCAAGAACTCAAGATTGATAAATTGTATTTCTTTAGTCTTCGCTAGGTAGTTGACTATTTGCTAGCTCGTTTGCCATTTTTTAACATTTGTTATATGGCTTATCATTTAATAATATATATTATGAAATATGCTTTATTTATTTATAGTGATCATGTAAACATATTGATTTTATGTGATAGTTTTGTCATGTTGCTTATTGCACACATTCCTATAATTTATGAACATTATATTGATTGCTAATCAAAAACTATTGCCCATATAAATTATGAAATATATTGATATGTAATACATGATAATCATAATGGTCATACAATATTTATCATAGAATATAATATTAATTTAATATGTGCTTGTACACAGGATGTATATATTATAAATAGAACCCATTTGGATTGGTTGGCTGAGTTGATGGGTCATCAAAGTGACACCTCAATTTGGAATCATTAGATTTTTATAGACTAATGAAAATTTTTTCAGTTCAGAGTATCTGAATGGGCTGGCAATTGATATATAAATAAATATAAAGTACTATGATAATTACTAATGGGCCATTGATGGATATATAAATACATTAAAGTAAGTGTTTTGGCATTTGAATGGAACGCTCATTATTTTGAATATGAATTTTTATGAACCTTATTGTATAGCAAGCACCTATAATTGTTTCTATATTTGACAATCTTGTTTTTTGAGCATTGTCTATAACTATTATGATATAATATCTCCCTTTTTCTTTCATTAATTACACTTACATCCTATCCTGTCATCTAAACCTTAGAAAGTAGGTTTCACTTTGTAAACTTATTTTTATTTTTATGTTATTAGTTGTGTATTATCGAAAAGAGAATTCTAGACTCATGCTTTCAATATATCATTTGATTACAGGTTTTAGTTTACTTAAAAATGATTTTTTCTTTAAACTAGTTAATGCAGTAGTGCTTATCTAAACTATAACTTGAGTAATCTTACTAATACAACAAACATATTTCAAACTTAACGTGTAATGAACCATCATGCTTCCCAAGGAATTCCATTTAACCTAAGCAAACACAATTGGAATAAAATATGGGTTACTTAAAAACTACTTAAAAGAATACAACCGGCAATTAAAAATCCAAGGCTCATGGAGTCTAACCATCCAAAACTACTAGAAGTTCATTGCAATATTGCCATTTTTGAAATTTCGAATCATACTCCAAAAATGAATGTGTTTGATTATCATGAATGGCACTTGCATGTCTTTCAACATTTATTGATATGTTGAGAACACGCCATTAGGCAATTTTTGATGCAAAAGCAAGATTAAAGTGGACGAGATAGTATTATTGAAAATAGTTAGTTATTTAATTAACAAGGAAAGAAAATTGGCACCCATATAACATCATATTGATGCACACACAATGTATCATTCATTATCCAAAGCACATAACCATAAAACAGTTAAGCATTTTAAAAGTATAGACTATGGGGGGCTTAACATTGAATATCAATGCATATAATTAATTGAAATTTATACCCACAAATTATGGCTAGAGTGGTTATTTACATGCTACCTCATCGATCACAAAATCAGCCTCTATGAATTATATATAGCTCCTTGTATTTGCATGCTACCAAGTTGTGTTTGTTCTTTCAACGTACTCTCATTTTTAGCCAGTGGGATATACTGATACAGTTAGGTAGGGTGTGTGATGCTAGCTGATCAGTCACTGATTTGAATATATTTATTGATGATTCTTTAGTCTTATGGAAGGGTAGGAAACAACCATGTCTATCTAAATCATCTATAAAATATGAATACCAGTAATGTTTACCATACTTTAAAAAATTATATGGTTCTGTGAACTTTTGTCCAAAAACTCAAGTTTTGCAAAAGAGCCCCACTCCTCTACATGTTGACAATATAATTGCCATCCAATTTTTTGTCGCCAATCTAACATGTCATAAAAGGATCAAGCATATTTAAGCTGATTATCACTCAATATGGAAAGCCTTCAATGCTCATATTATTTCTCTTCCTCATGTCTACACAATTTTTTAAAAAGATAATAACATATGCAACACTCAAAACCAAAGTAGCACCCAAGTATTTTTGGAACAACCAAACTAATGCATTTGCAAGTGCCACAATCAAACCATTGAGAATTTGAAAAAAAATGAAAAATATGGGTTGGGGTTTATCATGAATTTTGATATTTGGGGGAAAATTTGAAAAAAGAATGAAAAACGGTGCTAGATTAGTAAATAGCAATGTTTCAGGTACTATGTATGTAATTGCCCCTTTTTTAGATTGTAGACATATTTATGAAATCATTGGCCAAATAAAGACATTCTTTCTTGTAAGCAAATTGATCCTTATTAATCAACTATAATCAATATGGTTGAAATATCAATGTATATAATTAATTGATTTAATCTTCAAGAATTATGGTTAGTTCTGCTTCTTACATGCCACTGTTGACCTCATTTTTAGTGAGGTCTGGTCTTCCTCTTAGGGTTTAGGATCTAGCCTTAGGGATCTCCCTTTGACTATCTTAGAACCTTAGAAGTGGTGCCCGCCTCGTTCTAATTCGACCTATTTCCGTCCTCTTTTGTGGTTCCAAGTGTGTGGTATCGACTTCTAGCATTTAGAAGGGTGAAACCAACATGAGGAAACCCAAAAGGGACCCCTATAGGACCTTTTTGAGCCTTAGGGTGGCCTTCTGCACAATTCGCCCCCCCGCGCGCACAAACTTCGCAATTCGGAGAGCCAACACGTCCGATCGCCATAATTCACATCGCTTGCACTGTTACCCGTCGAAGACTCGAATGAAATTTTTGAAACAATCGATCGCGGGTCAATATTTTTGTGAAATTTGAATTTCGACGCGTTTTTGACCCGACCGTCGACGACGTCGTCCGAGCGACCCCGGATGACGAAACGGACTGCGCCAACGCGTCCGGAACGTCAATTTTGCCTAGGGAGGACACCTATTTTGTCGCATCGTCGTGCGCGGGTAAAATGTGTTTTAATTTATATATATATATATATATATATATATTTATATGTATATATAT